AGAGAGAGAGAGAGAGAGCGAGAAAGGCAATACCAAGCCTTATTTATGTTTTGGGTGGATTTGAATTTCTATATCTTATTTATTTAAGGGATGGCACTATGTGGCAGCCCAGATTGCCTAGGTGCAGCCTTGATCTCGCCTAGGTGCCCGCCTTGACGGCCTAGGCACCCACCTTGACCGTCTAGGCGTGCATCTTAACTGCTTAGGCACCTGCCTAAGGCATGCCTGCCCAGAGCCTAGGCAGTTTGTCCACCAGGCCGAAGTTTTATTCACTGGAGGACCTAAAGCAAATTGGGTGGGGGGGTGGGGTGGGGTGGGGGATAGTACTATAATAAACTAGGATAATATTTAATATAGGAAAATTTATCAAGTACCCATAAGAGATGAATTATTGAACAATTTACCCTTTTGGAACTAGTCCAACTCAAGGCCAGGTGTTATTCTTTTATGGGTAATTTGATAAATTTCCCTTTAATATAATATCTTAGTGATAAAAGTAGGATTCTATTTAATATATTATATAAGTAATATAGTACTGCATATTATATAATGCAATGCAGTACTATGTATACATACTAAAAAAAAAAAATAACAACACAAATAAGAAGATGAGGAAGCATCTAGAGTCCCCTCGGCCCTAAGCCCTGGCATGGCCTTAGGTGATGCCTCCTGGTGGGTGAATGTTTGAACACTGATCTTTGGCATTCGTGGTAGGCATACCTAATATTGCTGAACCTGTTTTATTTGCATACTTTTTTTGTATACATTGCAAGTGCATCATGGGTTTGATGTCTTTGTATTTCTTCGAGTATTCATTTGTTTTTTCTGCTTGTTCAAGGTACGATAAAGGGTCTCACAAATAGCCAACTAGAGGATATTGGTTGTCAAATAATTCTCGGGAATACATACCATCTGGCACTTCGTCCTGGTGCTGATTTGATTGATGAATTGGGTGGTCTCCACAAATTTATGAATTGGCCGAGGGCCTTGCTTACTGATTCTGGTGGCTTTCAAATGGTAATATTCATCCCTATGTTGCTCTACCTTGCGTACTTGCTATTATGTATTTTTTTATATTCATAACAATGAAAAAATAAAATCTTTATTTATTTTTATCATCTTTTATTTGGTTTCATAATATTTAAGTGATCAATGTCTCTCTATTTTATGCTTTTACCGATCATTTAGATCCTATATTTATTTCAAGGTAAAAAAGAAAAAGCGATCAGTGACTCGGATCGGCCAGCTTGAAAACTGGGTTGAATCTATGGATCGGCGTTCTGGATCAGAGGTCGGAGAGGCTAGTTTCGGCCTCGAAAATCTCAAGAAATAGTAAAGATTCCTAAAAATAGTGTTTTGTGAGTTTCCAAAAAAATGAGGGGTGGTGCATCATTTACTTTAATTATTTTGCAAAAATACATGAATATTGATTCGTTGTTCCCCTATCTGGACGTCTCTTGACCATTACATTCACATCACTAAAAAAACAGAATTACAATCATCATAGTCTTCATAGATATGAATACATTGTCCAAAATAGAGCATACAACAACTGAAAGAACTTCTTAAGGCTCCTCTCTCATTAGCGGCATTTTATTTTGAAACTCAGTGAGAGGCGAGAGAAATAGATTGTGTCTTGAATTTGTAAAGACCAGTGATCAATGTGGTTTTATATCCTGCTTAGTTCATTTATTCAATATTTTTTTGTACTTTGGAAATTCGGTCTGGTTTTATATGTGCTTGGATTATATAATATTTGATTACTATTTTTTTGTAAAAATTGTTTGTCTACTGCATATGGTGATTCTTTTCTAATGTCTTCATTTTTGTTAGCAAAGTAGTCTGTATAATTTAGAGAGAGAGAAAGAGGGGGATAGAATAGCTGCTTGGAATATTTGGGTTGGGGTTAATTGCACTTTGACAAAATGTTTACGCTTCCATGGCATCTTATATGGTGATTCTTTTCTTATGTCTTCATATTTATTAGCAAATTAATGTGTGCAATTTAGAGAGAGAGAGAGAGAGAGAGAGTGAGAGAGAGAGAGAGACGGTAGAGAGAGACGGTCCATGTGATGGCATTTTTAGAGAGAGAGGGGCCATGTGATGCTGTTTTTATTTTTTGAAGCTCAATGGGAGGCGAAAAGTCCCACTTGGGGCATAAAGTAAAGAGACAGAGAGGAGATGGTCTATAAAATGGCATACAATAAGTTAGAAAGGCCAATGTGCCGGTTGCCTAGAATGGTGTGGTCATGATCCAGCTTTCAAAAGGTTGGAACATTGGATGTTTTGAAATTATATAATATGAAGAGTAATAAATAAGCAATAAATGCAAATATGGAGTACAAAAAAACATTGAAGGGGTTGGTTGAAATTAGTTGAATTTGGAGAGAGATTTTCATGGGGTTGGTTGGAAATTAATCTATATTGACCTAGTATTCATATTGTTTTGAATTAAAGGGAAATTAGGGTTTGGATGGCTAGGGGATACGGTGTAAATCTCAACCCTTTATTGATGATACTCACCAAGGTTTGAATAATTTCAATTAAGCATCTCTTCACCCCATAGATCTTCATGATCAGTGGTTCACGTTGCTCCATTCTGAGAAGAACTCTTTAGGCTCCCACTAAACCCCAATTCAAGTCTACAAATAGGGGCCTCATGCACCTCATTTTCATACCTCTCCTAAGTAGTATTATGTTGCCAACTTTTAGAGTGAATGTTGCCTTAACCTCCACTGCATTTCCAAGAGACTTAGCCCTCAAGTGTTCCATTGAACCTTGGCTCACCCATCCCAAACTACACCATTACTCCATAGCCTTGAGCATCGTTTGGTCTAGACTTTTCCATGGACCTACATGTCACCTTTATATGAAACCAGCCCCATCTCAGCTCATTCTTAGTCACCTTGGTTGCCCTCTTGGTCATCATAGTGTGAGCCCCTTGAGCCCTTTGTAGCACACTTGTTGTGTGTGTTTCTGTGGAGTTTTGAGAATGTTTTCTTCTTGGATTGGCACGCCCTAGTAGGAGTGATTGCAGCCACTTCTCCCACACTTTCTCAGCCCTTTGAAGAGTGATTTGTGTGAATTAGGAAGCTCTTCTTGGTGCTTCCCATAGTTGGAGCAAGGGTGGGCCTCCGATCCTTGCGCAACCAAGGAGGAGAACGAACATATGGGGTGTACAAAGTCCTGTTGAGGTACTCTCGGGCACCTTGATATTTTTATTTTTATTGCTTCCTATGGTTCTATGTTGTGGTAGTGTTTGTTTTGGAGTTTTGTATTCTCCTGAGTGTAACTAAAGTGTAAGTAATGATGTTTAGATGAATTCCACATTATGATGATGATCATCATCAAAGCCTTATTCCAACTATTTAGGGCCAGCTACGCGAATCTTGTTATGCCATTTCACTCTATCAATGGCCGTACCTAGGGGTGAGAACGGGTCGGATCAGGTCCGGATCTGAATAGTATACATCGGATCCGAATTTGGATCACATCGAGTCCTGGATATTTGGATCCAAATCCAGATCCGAATAGCATACAACGGATCCTGATCCAGATCCGGATTATTATATATATATTATTTAATATATATATAAAATAAAAAGGAAAAAGCTGCCCTATGCAATATTGCGTATAAAGGAAATGGTGTGCCAACGATTGGGATAAAACAATCTTAAAATGGATGGCTCGCATTTCTCTCGCTCCCCCAATAGAGTTCCTAAAAACCTGGCTACTCTCTCTCTCCACTGGACCTCTCTCTCTATTTGCAAGGAGCGTACCCCTCTCTCTCTTCATGGACCTCCCTCTCTATTTTCAGCAGCGACGGATGCAACTCTCTTTCTAGTTACAGCAACAACACATTTCCCTCTCTCTTTATTTTCAGCAATTGAAGCCCCTAGGCTTGGGCATCCCTCTCTCTCTCTAGCAGCCATTGAAGCTCTCTCGCCATTAGCATCTCAGCTTGGGACATCTAGAGAGAGAGACTTTTAGAGCTCATTTTTGCAGATTAACATACACTACAGAGCCCTAGAAATGGCGATTCTCATCTTCACAACAAGCATGAGATTCTCTTCAACCTTTTCTTCTGTGATCAGCTTCGAGTAGCAAAGAGCAAACTAGGGCTTTTCTTTTTTTCACTCTGTTCCTCTCAGCTGTGGAGATCAATTTTTAAAGAGAGAAAGAGAGAGAGCGAGTGGATGGTGTAGAGAGAGAAGGGTATGGGGTTTTGGGGTGGCATAGAGAGAGGGTTTATGGGATGGCTCAGAGAGAGAGAGAGATGGGTGGCTGCTGCATAATGAGAGGTATGGGTGGCGTAGATAGAAAGAGATGGGTTATGGGGTGTTGAGGTGCAAGAGAGAGGGATGATGGGTGAGGAAGGGAAGCGAGAGAGAGGGAGAAGAAGAGGGGTGAATGGGGCTAGATGGGAGAGGCTGATGAGAGAGAGAAAGAGAGAGAGAGAGAGAGAGAGAGAGAGAGAGAGAGAGAAGAAAGTAGTAGTAGAAAGTAGTAGGTAAATTAGTTACTAGTTGTCGTCCCGTTACCGTTTTTACGTTTTTGTTAACGTTCGTACCGTACCGGTCGG